AAAACTCTGGAAGTTGATTGTGTCCCTTTTAAGACAGTCTCTAAGCTGCTAATGGCTTTAAATCCAAAAGCAAGCCCAAAAGCATCTGTGTTTAATTTAAATTACCTAACTGATAAAGGAAGAAAAGAACTGCCCATAAATTGCAGCACAAAGTCCAACCAAAGGACAAGACAGGAGACAGGTAGATCAGAGGAAGGTAAGAGCACTAGTAGAAATGCCCGCCCCTACCAATGTCCACTCTTAAAGAGTACTACTAGGAGGATTCAATTTTCTTAGACCACACATCTATAAATATGCTAAAATAACTCACCCAATGTGGAAACTGATTTTAAAAAAAGACAAAATGGGAATGGGGAAAAGAACAGGACTCTGCTTTAACCCTGCTAAAACAGAAGGCTCTCACAGCCCCAGCCCTGTGTTTCCCTGATGAATCACAGCCTTTTGTTAAAAAACAAATGAATGTTTGGCAGCCAATAACATGGACTTGGCTGCCACACTATTACAAAATATTAAAAAAGGGAACCTTAAAATGGGAAAAAGGGGTCACTCACTAGAATCAAAATGGATAGGCCCTTACTCCATAGTGGATCGCCTTAGCCCATTGGTATACTGCATTAAAAAAATAAAAAACGGAAATGGGTACACGTTTCACAAATTAAACTGTTTATATAAACAACGTTTTAATTCTTTGCAGAAAAGGACATCCCGGAACCTGAGCACGAGGCGCTGCTTTCACCACCACAATTTTAATTCTCAAAAAAGACTCCAGTGTAAGGTCTGGCTTTACCTGCTTCTGGGAACTTTTAGTGCCCAGATAATTAAAGCAATTTAAAAAATGCAGCCCTCCTTAAGCCAATAATTCACTCCCTGCCAACCAATCAGCGTGATATTAGCTCCCCAGAAGCAAGAGCAAGGAAAGGAACCAACACCCGGGTGGGGTGTCAACCCAGCAACAGCCGTTGTCCGGCAAGGGCGCTACAATGCAAAGATTCACCTGCATGAGGCCACACTAGGAGAACTGGTAAACCTTGCTTGGATAGACTCAGAAATGCTCACCTTACTCTGAAGCAGAGCGGGGCGCCGGGGCAAAGCCACAAGGGAAGAAAGGACATGATAAAAGGGAGAGACATTTGCCATTTCTCTCTTCCCCCTACATCTACAGACATCACCATCCATTAAGTGACTGAAGCGCTGATCAAAGGGGAGAGCCTGATTGAAAAGTAACCAGCCAGCCTGTGGTGAAACGTATCAAAGTTTGTAAGGACATCGAAAGTGTTAAGATGATTTCAGAATGTGTTTTGCTTTTATTTCACTTCACCAAATCTGACTTGTTGTGCTTTGACGTATAATCACTTAAAATCTCTCTAACTAATAAAACGTTGTTTGTTCTACCGGAAGCAGTGTGTTTGGTTTGAAGTGTGTCAGAGGCTCACCTTGGGATAACAAGCCTGGTACATATTAATTTCTTTGTTAAACTGACAAATTTATATAATCTTTCATCATCCAGTGAGCATTACTGGACACTGCAAGATGGCGGTTCCTAGGGTTGTGTCTGGGACCAGAGATAATGGCATTCGCTTGCCAGTAGCTGGGAAAAGCTTACATGCAAGAGGCTGTGTGTGAACACCCCAAGAGTGGGGTTTTCACAGAGCAGAGTAAGGCTAGCTCCCAAAGCCAAGGATTGGGGAGGCCGAGCAGATCACCAGTCCAGATAACACTGGGGGGAACGTCACACCAGTGTGTTTGGATTAAAGTCTGTGGGAAATTCCATTTGGGATAACAAGGCTGGTGCATGTCATTTTCCACTGATGAAATGAAAAATTTAATATGAGCTTGTGTTATTCAGTAGCATGCTGGATAGTGCAATATAAAAATTTCTGTGGGAAAGTTTGGCACTTGACAATTTGTGTTCTCCTGTGTGTAATTCATGAATGGCTGACTAGCAGCACTCAATACCGTGTAACTGGAAGAGTGTTACATGCTGGAGACTGTTTACTGCCCAAGAGGAGCTGTTCTCACAGTAAAAGAGTGGAAAAGGCACCCCAGGTTGGAGAACTGATTGGACTCTGAGTAATGTCACAGACACTCATTATGACAGAGCCTCTTACAACACAGAGAAGGTAAATCCATGTCCCAGAAATTGAAGACTCCAGACAGAGGGCAAGTATCCCTGAAACTGCTTCTCTCTGACAGAGGTCCAGAGACAAAGAGTATCCTGGGGAAGCTGGGAACAGTAAGCATGGGCTGGTGGGGTTCAGCAGAGAAAGAAACAGGAAGGGCAGGGATATCACTTAACGCAGGATCTCAGCAGTGCTAGATGTCCGGCTAGCACATAGTGTAGCCCATTGGAAAACATAATCCCAACTATACATATAAAATGATAAGGGCTTAACTGTTTCCACTCAAGAGATGGATCTTGGAGTCATTGTGGACAGTTCTTTGAAAACATCCACTCAACATGCAGCGGCAGTCAAAAAAGCAAACAATGTTGTGGATCATTAAGAGAGGGATAGATAATAACAGAGAAAATATATTGCCTCTATATAAATCCATAGGACACCCACATATTGCATACTCAGTGCAGATGTCATCACCCTGTCTCAAAAAGATATATTGGAAAAGGTTCAGAAAAGGACAACAGAAATTATTAGGGGTACGGAACAGATTCCCTATGTGGAGAGATTAAAAAGACTGGCCCTTTTCAGCTAGGAGAAGAGGAGATATGATAGAAGTCTGTAAAATCAAGACTGCAGTGGAGAAAGTAAATAATGAAGCGTTATTTGCTACTCCTCCTAACACAAGAACTGGAAGTCACCCAATTAAATTACTAGGCTGCAGACTTAAAACAACCCAAAGGAAGTATTTCTTCACACAGACAGTCAATCTGTGGAACTCTTTGCCAGAGGAAGTTGTGAAGGCCAAGACTATAACAGGGTTCAAAAAAAGAACAAGATAAATTCATGGAGGATAGGTCCATGAATAGCCATTGGCAGGGATGATGTCCCTAGCCACTGATTGCCAGAACCTGGGAATGGATGACAGATGATGGATCACTTGTGGATTGCCTGTTCTGTTCATTCCCTCTGGGACACCTGGCTTTGACCACTATCAGAAGACAGGATACTGGGCTAGCTGGACCTTTGATCTGACCCAGTGTGGCTGGATTGATGTACTAGGGAATATAGTGAGTCCAGTATAATGGGAGGGAGTATGAAAATCCCTGGCTGTGGAGAACACTGGGAAATTAGAAGCTATAATTCATGAGCAACAGACTCTAATTAGTCTGGAAAGGCAGAATGTGAAAAATAAGAATCAGGTCATGTGACTTCAGGAATAGAGCCAGAAGAGAGCTTGTGGCTATTACACATGCTGAAGGGGGAGCAAGACTCTCCAGGTCTAAAGAAGTTTCACTACCAACCTAGGCCATTTTCACATGCTGGGGTGCAATCCAGAATAGTGAGGAGTTGTCATCTGTAATCCTGGCTGAGATTCATTGTTCTGCTGCTGGAGCTCCCTTGTCTGGATACCCCCAGCCAGCATTCAAGGACACCCTGAGTGTATGTGTGACAGGTAACCCTGGACCAGCAGCTCTGACTCTAGCAGCTTGCTTGTTACACCCCATGTACATTCTGGTTTGGGTGAAGAAGGCTCAGGGTTTGGAAGAAGGCCAGGGGTAGGAACCTTCTTTTGGTTATGCTGAACCAAACCCCCAGTTTTCTTCAGCAAACGGGAGATATTTGACACTGTGCGATACTACTCCTGTGCTCTGTTCCCAAAGTGTTCTGTAGGAGGAGAGGGTAGAGTGGTATTGTATATGTCAGTGGCATGATGGGGCAGAGTAGAGGTGGCATTGTGAGACTGGCGTGAACCTTAGCTCTTCATTTCCCCCTTTTTGATGTTATTGACAAGAACTGGAACCGTATAGATCATTGTTGCAACTAAGGTCCTGTAGTGGCACCAAATCTTATATAAAGGGGGACAAATGAGGTGTCTAAGACCAGGTTATGGTTTGCTGGTTCTGATTATGCTATCTGTATGCACGTGTTATTTTTGTATTAAAAGTTATGAATATTGGCTTTATACTGTCTGTAACTCAAACTTATGCTATGCTTCTGCGTGACATCCCAGAGAAGCTGGTGTTAGCTCTGCCTAGCCTGCTTGATGGCCCATAAGGACCATCAGCTATACAACTGACCCATTGAGAGAAGGCAGAAATACCTTATGACTCAGCAAAGTATGCAGGGACTTACCCATGTGACTCCAGACTCTATTTTGCTGTAATTTTCCACAGTAAGGACAAAGAGGTGTCCTTACACCTGGAAGAGACTATAAAAGGCAGCTGCCTCACCTCCATCTTGTCTTCAATCCTGCTTCTTACCTCTGGAGGGACTTTGCTACAAACTGAAGCTCTAAACAAAGGACTGATGACCCATCCCAGCAGTGGATGTTCTCCAGAGACTTGATTTGAACCTGCAGTTTATTCCACTATTGCTACAAGCCTGAACCAAGAACTTTGACTTTACTGTATGGAATTGATTCCATTTAACCAATTCTAGCTCATCTATATCTTTTTATTTTATGAATAAACCTTTAGATTTTAGATTCTAAAGGATTGGCAATGACGTGATTCATGCTTAAGATCTGATTTGTATATTGATCTGGGTCTGAGGCTTGGTCCTTTGGGATCGAACCTTTTTTCTTTTACTGGGGTATTGGTTTTCATAACCATTTGTCCCCATAACGAATGGCACTGGTGGGGATACTGGGAAACTGGAGTGTCTAAGGGAATTGCTTGTATGACTTGTGGTTAGCCAGTGGGGTAAAACCAAAGTCTTCCCTGTTTGGCTGGTTTGGTTTGCCTTAGAGATGGAAAAACCCCAGCCTTGGGCTGTAATTGTCCTGCTTGAAGCAATTTGTCCTGAATTGGCACTCTCAGTTGGATCCCGCCGGAACCAGCATCGTTACACCCTTCTAATATCCGAGGGCACAGAAATCCTTACCCAGTGAGGTCACGCTCTCATAGTCCTTCTGCATGACTTGTCCGTAGAGGGCTCCTAAGCAGGTCCAGCAGAGCCCACTCTTCTACACAGCCACCTCCTCGAAGGTCACCGGTCTCTGAAAGAGCAAGAGTCCCACACAATACCTGCTGCCCCACTCACAGCCCCACTATTCGTGGGGGAGAGGAGCCAAATGGAAGTGCTGGGTGGCTCGCAGTCAACAGAGTCCCACCCCACCCCGCTCAGAGCATCCAGGAAACACCAGGGTGAGGGGACGAAGAGAAAGCCCCTTGTCTCTCTCAGCAGATCCATCACACACCTACTAGCCACAGATTGATACAGGAGATGGAGCTCCTAGCAGGGTCCAGGGAGAGCTCCCTGGTAGGAAGCCCAACACCCTCCTCATTTTGAGGAGCTGAATATGAAGTGTGAGGCAGCTTCCCTAAGCCTGACTGGTGGGTGCCCCTTTCATATCTCAGAGCAGCCGCTGATTAGTCAGGTCGGGCTCCAGCACTATCAGTCTGGTCAGTTTTCCTAGCCCCATGTAGGTGGGTTATTTTCTGTTCAACAAATTAGAGCATTTCCACCTCCGAATCTCATGGGTCTGCTCCTAAAATCGAGGCCACTTATTAAACAACTCCCAGCAGGTTTGCCACAGCTGTCCTCCTCCCTTTTTCTACCCTGTGCATCTCCTCTCCTGCTCCAATCTCCAAATCAGACTGTGCAAACCTTCCCATCTCCGGTGTATTTTCTGTCCCTCTCCACCAGCAGGAACCCACCAACCACTCCCCCCACATGATCCCTACCTGGGCTGGTTCCACAGCAGCCATTTCTCTTCCCTATCCCATGGGAGGACAGGATGAGCTGGAGCGAAACATGGACGTCATTCTGCAGCGTGCCTGGGTGAAGAGGGCAGTGGTGGAGGTTTCAGAACAAGCTTCAGTGAATTTCACATCATGATTCCCCCAAGGCCCTTTCCCTGCAGACAGACATCCTAGATTCTGCCAGGCCGGGAAATGCTCAATCTGTTTATTACAATGTAGACCTGGCCCCTCCTGCAGGGCTAAGCCCACAGACACATTTTTAACCTCCCTTCTTCCTCCCTGCATCCCGTAATAAAGTCTCTGAACACAAGGCTAGAAAAAAGCAGAACCAAAGGAGTTACTTTTGACAATTCCCTTTGCCACTGACCCTATGGGAGCAACACCCCAGCAGGAGGGATATGGACTCAGGAACTGGGTTTTCCTCGGTCTGATCCTCATCTTGTCCACAGGAAAGTGACTCTACCCAGGGTGCACTAATACATCTGTCTGGGCAGATTAGAGATCTGGAAATCTCTCTTGAAACTCTTCTCTCCCACAGCCACTTTCAGTCTCTCTCCTTCTATCTCCTTTTCCCTGCCGATCTGGTAGGAAAGTCCCATTTCTGGGTTGGTTGCTCCCCATGGCTGGATTTGCTCCTGCAATTGCTAATGGCAGGACAAATGACCGGGGAAGGGGGCACAGCTGTTTGTGTAGAGTCATTTTAATACCAGACTACAGCATTTTCCCTGGGTTTCTTTCAGTTACCTGGAGTCTGTGGCTCAGAATTTAGTATAAATAGGGCTCAGGTCTGCCCCAAGGCTGGAGAAAGTCATCAAGTGGGCAGTGCAGAGAAGAAGCTTTATTTAAAAGGTCACATCCCAGCACAGAACCGCCACTGGGAGAGCAGCAGCTGCTAAGCCTGGTCTCCCAGATCACAATGGAGGCTGCAGCATCTGACAGAGGAACCTGAACCCCAATATCCTGAGCAGAGAGGAACAGAGCATTCGAGCAGCTTCCCTCCTTTAGCTCTCTGGGGAGAGCAGCTAATGAGAGCACCTCCTCACAGGGAGAATTACTAATCTCATTTGCCTCACTGTCCATCTGGAATATCTGCTTGTTTTCCATACAGTGACTCTGGATTAACAATGTTCTCAATGAAACCAGATTTCAGAAAGAACGAGTCCAGAATGCTGTGGAAGAGACCATTGTGTGGTAGTGCTAACCCCCTTCCCACCTCCCTCACCCCTCAGATCTAGGACAAGGACTGGGGGGCATGAATATTCCCAATGAAACCAGAAGGTCCTGCAGTTTTCAAGAGGGGAGAAAAGCAAAATCTGTGATTTCACCTCACAGTGTTTGATAAGTGGATAGAAAGTTATCACAGTGACCGGGCATGTGGCTGGGGACTGCCGGGCAGTGCTTGGAGCCAGGATTCTGGCACAAACTGATCAGGGAGAAGGAATACTGTTAGTAGCAGCCCCTAGAGACCCCAGCCAGGGTCCCACCAGATATTCCCTGGAACCCAGTCCCCAGAGTCCCTGGCCAGGGACCCCAGATACCCTCAGAGCCCCACCAGCCACAATAAGAGCTGGACATTGGCAAAGTGGAGAGAAAATGGGGTACAATTGGGGGCGGGGAACAGAGACCTTCTCAGGGATTTGAGGGAAGGGGGGGGGTCGACCCTGGATGTTGCTCGTTGCTCTCTAGAGAGAAAGGGGGAGGCTGGAGAGGATGGGGGGTCCCCCCGGGAGGGGGCCGAGCGGTAAATCCGAGGGGA